GTTACAGCAAAAAACGCATAAAAACTGAGGTGTAAGTGTTGTGCAAATCGCGGACTGCTAACACTAAAATCTCACTCAAATGGAATGCTGAAATACAATCGCACGAAAATATTAATGCCTGAAGAAATCAAAAAAAATAATGAGTGCACCGGCTTTCCTTTGTTTCAAAATGATTCTGAAGCATATCCTGCGTTTAACAATCAAGAACAGGCTTATCGATTTCTTACTCTTTTTATGCGTTTTTGCATACGTGCAAGTGCCCAGGCTGAAACGTAGAATGCTTGCCAGTGCGATCATGCGTTTTGTGCAATTCTGTCCACCGAACGATTGCCCGTTAATGATTTTCACTGCTTTTTACTTTAGTCTGTGCAAAAATAGTTAAAACGTTGAGTTAAGAATTTCACGCACCTTCAGATGAAAGCTGAACTTGAAACCTCGAAGAGCGAATATTTTTCCAAAATTTCAATCGCCTAATTTTCTGGCTTTCGAATGATCTTTGAAACAAAATTTTCACGTGGTCATACGTAAGATCTTGGCATATTTAGAAACAGAATCCGAGATTGTGAAGCCCCTGCTTAGGCAGGAAACATTCTAAAATTTTCGGTCTTCTAACTCCTCTGGCTTTCGAGATGATGATTTTTCTCGCCAAAACTTCCACAGGGACGTTGAAAATTTGCGGAGTTGCACGTGGGTAGGAGTCGTCACACTAAAATTTCAGCTTCCTAGCTTTTGCATTTCACGAGACAATTTTCCTGCCAGAACTTCCATGGGGCCGTACGTGGTACCAGGGGTGCATGAAGGCTGAATCCAAATTTACGAGGTTGTACGCTGGTAAGGCACATCGGCGTAAAATTTCAGATCCCGAACTTTCGTGGGTTCTAAGACAGTAATTTACCCGCAAATGTTTTTACGGGGCCGTAGGTGATACCCGAGAGCGTGAGAACGCTGAATTTGAATTTGCAAGTTCGTAGGCAGGCAGAGGCCATTGCCGTGAAACTTCAGCTTCCTAGATTTCGTGGCCCCCGAGATAATAATTTACCCACCAAAATTCCATTGGGGCCGCAAGTGATGCCCGAGAGCGTGAGAACGCTGAATTTGAATTTGCAAGGTCGTAGGCGGGCAGGGGCCATTGCCGTGAACTTCAGCTTCCTAAATTCCGTGGCCCCCGAGACAATAATTTACCCGCCAAAATTCCACGGGACCGCAAGTGATGCCCCAGAGCGCAGGAACGCTGAATTTAAATTTGCAAGGTCGTGCGTGGGCAAGATTTCAACCCCCCAGATTCCGGTAATTTACCCGTCAAAATTTCCACGGGGCCATTCGTGCTACCCGCGGGCAGAAGGCTAGATTTAAACTTTCTGAGTCGCATGTGGGCAGGGGACATGCCCAAAGAATTTCAGTCTTCTAGCTTCCGTGGTTCCCGTGATGATAATTTTACTCGCCCAAACTTCTACGGGGCCGTACATGTTACCCGCGGGTACGGGGAGGCTGAATTAAAATTTACGGGGTCACACGTGGGTGAGGAACGTTCCCCTAAATTTTCAGCCCCCTAGCTTTTGTGGTTCCCGAGTTGCAAGTTGCGGACAAGTTTTCGCGGACACACACACACACACACACACACACTGATAACCCCGTGACAATATGCGTTTTGTACTGCTATTACACAGCACAAAACGCTTGTTATGGCGACCTGTGGTGTGCGTGTGTGCGTCTGTCCGGATATTTTAACTCGGCAACCACGCAAAATGCGGCGCTAAAATTTTGCCGGTGGGTTCCCCCGCCAAGTGCCACCCCATGACCGCGGTACCAACCGTCACGCATGCCCGGGCTTCATGTCCAAGCACGTGAGGGTTTTGACGGGAAAATCGCTAACTCAGTAACCAGAAAAGCTAGCAGGCTGAAATTTTAAAGGGATGTTTCCCGCCCACTAGAACTTAAAAATTTCAAGTTTAGCCCACACGTAAGCGTGAGACAGAATGTCCTCTGTCCAAGTATTACGCAATTCCAAATTAACTTCCTGATCTTCGAGGACCACTATTTTACATATTCCACATTCCATGCAATCTTTACTACCACACGAAATACTGCAAAAGCGCGTGATTGCACGGGCCTGCCTAGTGCGTGTCGTCAGTGATTGTAGTATTGCGTCTTCCCTTTTTTTTTTGCTGTTGTCTTCAGTTCCTGCCTCCAAAGTAACATCTCATTCCTCTCCAGCCTCCTATAACAACACTCTCCAACCAACAATATCCCCCAGTCTCTTCTCTGCGCTGAGTCTCCGTGGCCCAAACCAGCACCAACCCCACCCTCCCCTCCACCCATCACTCCTCCCAATCTAAGTTAACCAGCGTTCGGGGGAACACTAAAGCCATATATGTAAGTGCATATTGTGCGGCGGTGACTACCCCAGCCGCTCCCCCATTTCAAGTCCTTGCAGTCCAAACCTGCAACCACGCACCCCCATCATCCCCAGACCTTTGCCATACGGCGCTTGTTGAGACATTACCGACCACCAGCACCAGCTCTTTAGCGATTCGCATCACAACCAAAGCCGAGCCGAGTT